CCCGTGCGTCATGGCCACGTGGCACGAGCCGGTGTCGCGCAGCTGCCCTCATGCATGCATGCATTTGTTGGGCGCGGTCGTCGTGACGCCTTGGCCCCGCGAAGAAAGCTTGAGTAAAATGGGTTTGATTAGCCTCACAAGATTTCACGCCCTACATTGACCAAACCTGCAGCCGTCCGTGCGTGCTGGCAAAACGTCTGGGCGGCACGCTCGAGCGTGATTTGCGGTGCTGCACATGTCTGAGGGTGCTGTGTTTACGCAAGGATGCGTGACCAGACTGTCAGGCATGTATTAACTCGACCCGCCCCAGACTCTGCGTGAGGCGTCCGCGGCCCGTCAGCCGGGCGGGGGGGGCCTTGTGGGCCAACAAGGGACTGCATGCCTGCCGCGCGGGACGAAGGACGGGCTGCAGTGTCCTGCAGAGGCAGGGTCATGCATCAGCTTTCGTGATGACATCATGACGGGTGACATATAAGGTCATGCAAGGGGGCTTATCAAGCGTGGTGAGCAATGTGAGCGCGCCACGAGAGAGTGCACGTGGGGTGCACGTGGGGTGCGTGGTACGAGAGCAGCAGCTTTGCTCATGGGGGGGCAGGGGCTAAACCCGGGAGCAAGGCTGCTTTGATTCCCAATGACAATATAGTATAGATGTCCAGGCCGTTGGGTGCGGACCACGTTGCAGCCTCTTTTTTTCGGGTGAGAGTGGCCGCTGGTGGCTTGTGCGCACCGGAATTCTCACCACTGAATGCATCGAACGTTTGTCACGACTCATGCGCACGTACCGGCGCACATGAGAACTCTCCAAATTCAGCAGAAATTAATCTCAGTGAGGTGCCTGCTGAACGACATCCGCCTATCTCGTGCCTCTGGGGTCGGTGTCACTCGTCTGGACATTCTCGGTAAACGAGTGACAACCTTCCGCCCGGTTCCGGGATTGCAGATGTGTGGAGTTTTGCAGTTTTGACGCTCACAATTCAAAGATTTGACAGGATTGCTTGCTCGTTGGTGGAGCACCACTGAGTGCTGTGTCTCGACTCGGCGGCCACCACCAACGGGGGTTACGCAGGCCTGGATAGGGTCGACCACGTAAATCATAGCTTGCAGAACACTTTAAGGTGCGCTGGCCGCCTGTGCGGGAGTCGCGGGAGCACTGGCCTATCCGAGAGACCGAAAAGCACGGTGGCAAGCTTTTGCAGCGGGTATACAACAAACTTTGAACGCAATGGGGTACACATCGCCGACCTGTAGGCAGCACGCTCCGCGCCAGGGCCACTCGCTGCCCGCACACCCGGCCAGGGTGTGCGCACGCTTCAGTTGGCGCAGCGCGCATACACCACGCCCCCCACTCATCGGCCGCCCGTTTCCCCTGGATACGGTATGCAGCATCTGAAATTTATGACGTCCCAAGACACCCGGGTTGGCCTGCCGGCCACCCTGATCCTCTTGGCTGGTGGGCAGCTAGCTTACTGGATGTTGTGTCAGACGAGGGCCATGTGGGGAGGGCAAAGCGTTGCGCAGGGGTCCAGAGCGGCGGCAGGAGTACATAAACCAAGCCCTTTGCTCTCTGAAGCTATGCAGGACGGGGGATGACCACCCTGCGCTTTGTGCGGCCGCCCCAGTGCGCTGTGCACCATGCCAAAACCGCCCCACCAACGGACTTGCGCTGGTGCTGAGAACCTCGCGATCCCCCCATC